TAAATAGTAAAATGATAAATTTTAATTATTTTGGATGTATCTAGGTAAAATAAAAATTTGCACTAAAAAATATCAAATACTTTACTAATTAAAGTTATAGCATATATATATTTTTTTTTGTTTCAATAAGACCTTATTTCAAATTTATTAATTAAAAAAAAAAAATCTTTTACATTAAATAAAATTATATAATATAAAATACGTAACTTATTCTAATATTTGTTTGAAAGATGAAACTTGAACTAATTCATATGAGACATGTTCACAATCTATCGTCTGTTAAAGTTATAGTATATATTATTAGCTATAAGTTCATATAAACTATTTATAGTTACAATTAATATCTATTAAGATCGATAAATATTAATTTTATAATTTCAAATTTGATTTTTTGTTGATATTATTTGAATCAAAATTTCTTGACAACTATGTATCCAAAATTAATAATTAAGCTATTATATGAAAGCTCAAAATCAGAACAATTAAATAAAAAAAAATTGACTTATTTTTATATGTTAAATCACAAGTTATTAACAGATAAAAATTTACTTTATAATTAATAATTTTTAAATAGTAAAATACTTTTGTTAGGTAAATGTATATGAAATATTCCATTATAAAAATATACATACTGAAATATTGTTGAATTGTATTATATTTATCAATATTCCTATTAAAATATTTTTGAATAGTCAAAATATTTATCAATATTCTTATCAAATATTGTTGAATTATATCATATCTATCAATATTTCTATTAAAATATTTTTAAATAATCATCAATATTTCTATCAAAATATTTCTGAATAATCATCAATATTTTAATACATAAACAAAATAAAAATATATCTACAAATATACCAGTCAAAATATTTATTAATATTTCTATCAAAATATTGCTAAATAGTTATTAATATAAATATATATACAAAATTTTCAAATAATATAAATATACTTACTAAAATATTGTTGAAATATTATTGAAATATAGTTGAACTAAGTTGAAATAAAAAATAATCAAAATATTAATATAATAATATTTTCTTTCAAAAATTATATTGATTGAATAGTAATAATAATATTGATATTTTTTTTTGAAGTTTTAGTTGATTTTGATTTAATATATGTAGAAATGAATGGAAAAAGATATATTTATTGAATTTTCTTTCTTAAAATATAATAACATGACAAATAGAAAAAAATATAAAAAAATAAGAATTTATAGAATAAAATATATAAAGAAAAAAAAAAGAAAAAAGATAAAGAAAAATATAGAAAAAGAAGAAAAACAAAAAATAAAAAAAATAAAAAAATAAATTTTAAAAAAAAGAAACAAGAAAATAAAAGTATTTTTTGAAAATACAAAAAAAAGATAAAATATAAAAAGTATATAATTTAAGTTTTTCTTTTAAACTTTAAAAGTATTTCTTTAAAAAATTTGTTGATTTTTTTTTTTTAATTTTTTCATATCTAAAATATTTTGAAAATATGTTTAATTTATAAATATATAATAAATCAAATAAAAATAATCTAAATTCTAAATATCTGAAATATCATCTTTTAGATATTTTAAGATTATTAATATTCTGCATATTTTAATAATACATTTTTTAAAAATAGATAAAATTAATACTACAAAAATAATAACAAATTTTATTTAAAATAAATTTAATATAAATTCTACTTAAAATAGAAAATGATTGAATTTAAAAATATATAACTAATTTTTAACTTTTTGCAAATATTCAGTACTTCTGAATTTTTGTTAAATTTCATTAATAAAGTTGAAATATTTTAAATTTCAGTAAAATTGTTAATAATATTATTAAATATTATATTTTAATTTAAACTCAAAATCAAATTTAAGCTAATTTTTAAATTTTAACTGAAATTTACTAACAGCTAAAAGATATTTTGACAATAAAACAGGATATTAAAATATTATATTATATTTTAATGAAAATTTAGCTACAATCAGAATTTTGAATTTTGATTAAAATTTATTGACAATTAAGAGAAATTATTAAATTTTTGAATTTTTGAATTTTGATTGAATTTATAATATTATATAATATTTTTAATCTAAATTTAACTATTTATAAATTTAAATAAAATTCAGAAATTCTAAATTTTAGTTAAAATTTAATATAATATTTCAATATCCCTTAATTGTTAATAAATTTTAGTCAAAATTTGGAATTTTTGAACTTTGACTAAATTTATAAACAGTTGAAATATTATATAATATTTTTGACCTAAATTTAGCTATTTATAAATTTAATCAAAGTTCAAAAATTTTGAAATTTATTAATAACTGAAGGATATTGAAATATTATATTAAATTTTAATACAAATTCTGAATTTTTGAATTTAGACTAAATTTAGGTCAAAAATATTTTATAATATTTTGACCTAAATTTGACTATTAATAAAATTTGAAAATTCTAAATTTTGATTAAATTTTAATAAAAAATCTTGATATAATAAATTTTACTAAAATATTATATTTCTGAAATAGGTATTTTGACAACAATTCAACATATCAAAATATTGTATTAAATTTAGTACTAATTTAGAAATCCTGAATTTTGATTGAAATTTAACTTAAAGTTGAATTTATGATGATTTTTAATTTCGGCCAAAATTTGAAATTTCAAATTTTAACTAAATTTTATTGATAGTCAAATTTAGATTAAATTTTTTTAGCAATTAGTTAAAAGTTAACTGAATTTTGTGATTGCTGAAAGGTCTTATTTTGACCAGTAATATAAAATAGAAACAAGTGAAAAATATTAGTAAATTCAAATAAAAGTATTAATATAAACAATAACAATAGTAGTAATATTAATAACAATAACAATAATATAAATATTAATAATAAAAATGCAATTAAGAACATTTGTAATAATATAGTTAGTAAATTTGATTATAGAATAGTTTAGGATTTAGTATCTTGAACAGATATATATACAATAGATTTTTTAGTAAGACCTTAATATGTTAAGGGCAAGTTTATTTGTTAGGCAGTAGGTTGCAGGCACATCTCGTAGAAGTTAGTTTGAGTTTTATTTTTTAAATAATCATTAGAATAAGTTGTGTATTTTATATTATGTAATAATAATGTAAAAGATTTTCTCCTTTTCTAATTAATAAATTTGAGGTAAGATTTCATTAGAACTTAAAAAAAAAATATTACCTTGTAACCTGACATTTCAGGAGTTATTCCAGTTAATTTAAATTAAGATTTAATATAAAAATTATTTTTGAATTTAATTTTTTTTTAATTATTTAAGTGAACAAATTTGTCAGTTAAAATTTACAATTTAAAGAATAAGGTCTATCTTCACTTCTCTTCTGATAATTAATAATTAATCTTGATTAGTTAAAAGATTTATAATTATGTAATAAAAAGAGATTCGAATTTTTAAATAACAGAAAGTAATTTTCTATTAAAATATTTTTATTATTTGAAATAAAAATTTTCAATAATAATTAAATTATTTTTTGACATTGAGTTATTGCCATTTGTAAATATTTATTAAAACTATTACAATTTGTAAATTTATTATTATTAAATTAATTTTAGAATTAATTTCAGATTTCAGAATTTGGTTTGAAATCTGTTTTGATTTCAGGGATCATCAAGTAATAATTTAAGCTAAATTCTATCTTTTATCTTTTTAATTTTATTAAATTAATTTTAAATTTTTATATAAATCAAATAGTCTTAAACAATTACATTTATTAAAATTATTACAATTTGTAAATTTATTATTATTAAATTAAATTCAGAATTAATTTCAGGTTTCAGAATCTGTTGAAATCTGTTTTGGATTTTAGGAATCAATTTTAGGATCAGGTAATAATTCAGGCTAAATCCTATTTTTTATCTTTTTAATTTATTAAGAGTCTTAAGCAAGTTTCATCTAAAATAAAAAATCTTTATATATTTTGTTTTAAATTTTATTCATTTGATTTTAAACTTTTTAAACCTTCTAAATTCTTTAGTCCAAGGGTAAGGGTTCTAATTTTTAATTTTGAAACACAATTATTATATAATTTTTCTAGAATATTATATCTTATAAAAATTCCTGATATAAAAACAATTTCAGATAAAATATAGGAATAATATATATATTACACTTATAAATATAAATTTTTCTATTTATAAAAGTGAGCATATAATACAAGCATTAATAATAACATGTACTACTTTTATTACTTTTATTATTATTTAACTAATAAAGTTTATTTGTAGTTAAAGTTTAAAAAAAGGTAATTAAAAACTTTATGACTCCTCTAACTCAGCAAACTAAATTCTTTAGAATCTCTGTGACAAGAATTCTAATAAACCTAGTTGTATTCATTAGCTATTAATATATATGTCATCAAATTAATAGATTATCTATAATTTTTTTTTAATACAAAAAGTTTAATAAACAAAAATCTTTTGCAGCTCATAACTCGATAATTAGTGAACAGATCTAGATTAAACAAAGTTCGTTAGAGTCTACTCATTACAAGGATTCTAATAAATCTAGTTTCATTCAAATCCGTTCACTAGTTGTCGAGATATCATCTCTAACTTTTTTTTTAATACAAAAAATTTATTTTTAATAGTGAGAAATCTTTCTCGACTCATAACTTGATAACCAGCGAACGTAACTGGATGAAGCTATGATCATTAAAATCCCCTCGTTGCAAGGATTCCAATAAATCCGGTTTCGCCCAGATACGTTCATTGGTTGTCTAAATATCGTCTTTTACTTTTTTTTCTTATCTTTATATTTATTATTTAAGCAGATCATGAGTCCCATGCTTCAATATGTATCAAAAAATTATGTTACATCGACAATTTTTAGCCGTGGCTTGGCAATCTTATAAAAAGGGCCTTTTTTTTGGTCTGAAACGTAAATCTCAAAGAAAAATCCTTTTTTCAAGAATTCAAGAAAACCGATATTACTAGTAATAATAATTACATATACTCAATATAACTGAAAATGGTAAAACTATATCTCGAACTGCCTCCGCAAACCGAAAAGGCTAAGGAAGACTTCGAAGAAATATTTCATTCGATATATAGGGGGAAGGGTGTCGGTAATGTTACCCATGCTGAAGACTACCGCTGTAATTGTAAATACAGAGTTGGTAGAGATAATATCGATAAAGCTTGCGGTGAAACAGCTGGGTGTGTGAATCGTGAATTATATATTGAATGTATCGAAGGAGACTGTCCATGTGGGCAGTATTGTCAAAACAGAAGGTGAGTAACAATGAGCAAAAAAACGTCATTTTCAAAATGGACTTTAAATATACGTTGTATATTCTGCTATTTTTGCAGAAATAAAGTGAATTATAATAATTATAAGTATTGTAATCATGTCGTCGCTTAATTCGTTTAATTTGTTTAATGTAATTCAAGACGACATCCTTCTATTTAATGTATTCAATACGACATATATGTGTTGACGTCTAGAAGCTTGTTTTTATTTTTTAATGAAAGAAAATATTTGAACATATTTATATTACTATTCAATAATATATATTCACTAACTACTTTTAAAATATAGATTCCAAAAAGCGGAAAACTCCAATGTAGATGTTATATATTTACCGTTAAAGGGCTACGGAATAAGAGCAACGGGACCTTTAAAGAAAAATCAATTCATCATGGAATATCTCGGGGAGGTAATTAAATACGACGTTTTTCAGAAGCGAATGAGGAGGTACAACGAAGAAGGACTCCAACATTTTTACTTCATGTCATTACAAGCTGGTGAAATAATTGATGCCACAGATAAAGGATGCATTGCTCGTTTTATGAATCACTCATGTGCTCCAAACTGTTACATTCAGAAATGGATGGTTGGAGAAAAGTACAGAATTGGCATATTCACTCTCAGGGATATTGAGAATGGTGAAGAACTAACATTTGATTATAATGCTGACCGATATGGGTGAGTATCAATTTGCATTCTTCGTACAATAGTAATGATTCCGCCATGATCCAAAATATTGGATCGAAATGATGGGAGAATATTATTTTATTATATTTATTATTTTTTTTTTAACCAACGTTAATTATTAACTTTGGTTTATAGATCAGAAGCTCAAGCGTGTCATTGTGGCGAGCCTCAATGTCGTGGTATAATTGGTGGAACTCGAGAGACAAGCAACAATATTCGTTCACAAGAAACTACACAGGCAAATCTATCGAAACCTATCGAGAGTGTCGACGACGTTCTACAGTTTATTGGACTTATGTTAAAATCAGTCGAGAAACCAGAAATGGTTCCTGGACTCTTAAACCGACTACAAATGACTAATGATGAACCAATACTCAAGATGTTTATGAAACTTCATGGGTCAATAATGCTTAAAACTTATATTAGAGAGCACCAAGACCAACCTGAAATACTCATGAAATCACTTGAGATTGCTGGCAGATTGCCATATAAATATCAAAATCGACGCGTCGAATCATCTCATCTAAAAGAATGGGTAGAGAGAACGTCTTCGCGAGAGGATGATGTTGGAAAGATGTGTAAAGTTGTTCTCGAAAAGTGGAACAATCTTCCTGAATACTATAAGATTCCGAAGTATAGTGAAAGAGGTTTAGAACCTCCAAATTTTGTTAAACCGGTAGATCCGGATTCATTGAATGCTACGAAAGGAGTCAAAAAAGCCACCGATATCAAGAAAACCATCAATGTTACGGATACTAGCGATACCGAGAGTTCCACAGAGAAAGAAAAAGGAAAAGAAATTGAAGTTTCGAAAGATGAGCCGGAGGAAAAAGTTGAATCAGTACCGGAATACGAATACTATAATTATGAGTGCAGTCATGACTACTACGTTCGCTTCGCGGATAGCCACTTCCCATTTCAACATATGTCGCAGTTAGATTACTGGACCAATCAAGGTCTCGGTCCATACAAATCATTTCGAAATGACAGAAGTGACCGAAGTGATGGCGAACCAGGGTCCTCCAAGTACTGGCGAAATCGAAATTATCGATACAACAATGGTCATCAACGTTCATCACAACCTGCACCACCACCACCTAAGGAACCCGAATTACCACCACTTGCTCCTAATTGGTTTGAGGCAAAAGATGAGTACGGTCACACATACTACTATAACAAGTATACAAAGGAAACATCATGGGAGAGGCCCGTCGTAAAGGACGACATGAAGACAATTGACGGGTTCTCAAAGGCAGAAATTCAAGGTGTGATCGAACGCGCCGAGGCCTTGGCTAAGAAGGCTGAAAAGGAGAGGGAGCGGGCTCTTCGGGAGAAGCAGGAGAGCATGAAAGTGGGAAGTGATCAGACATTAGGGGCGACCGGACTCTCTGAGTCTGACTTTAAAAGTTCAATAAAATTAATTGTCATCGATTACTGCAGCCGTTTCAAGCGACATGTGGATGTCCCAACATTTAAGAAGATGGCCCGCGATTGTGCACATATCGTCGTCGAAAAGGAATTGAGAAGAAGTGAATGGGTTGGCAAGGACACGTTCACGTTGTCCGAGGACACAAAGTCCCGAATTAAAAATTTCACGATTGAAAGGATGAAGCGTATAGTGGCCCAAATGAAATTTGAGACTGAATCAAACAAAAGCCACCCTGAAGTTGAATCCTCTTCGTCAGCCGCAAAAAGAAAACGAACCGATGACGGAGAAGAAGATCGTGATCGTGATGAGAAGCGACTAAGACATGAAAATAGTTCAAGTTCTCATAAACCTAATGGACAAAAGCCAACTGATGAAGAGCGGGGACTAAAACGTAAACGCGATTCTGATGACGATAATGGACGTAATCGAAAAGTAGCCAAGCAGTGAACCCAGAACCGGCATGATGAATAATCAATAACAAATTATGGTTTATATTTAATTGAATTTTAATATTAATGTGGATTATATTACTTTTCTGGATTTATATTATTGTTTTGAATTACGGTTCTATAATTCAATATTATATTGCGCTCTAATTGTTCCTTTATTGTTTGGGTATCCACGTTGCTGGATGGATATTATGATTCTGAATTATATTCATGGTTTTTGTTCGTGGTTCTAGTTTTTTTATTACGGTTCTCGATTATGGGATTATATTAATGGTTCAGGATTTATTATTGTTCTGTGGTTATATTATTGTTCCGGATTTATTTTTTTCTGGATTTTTACGGTTCTGGTATATATATATATATATTTTTCGGGGGGTTTCTTGTTCTTGGGCTTACATTATTTGTTTATGAATTATTCTGATCCTGGGTTATTCTTTGTTCTGTTGGGCGCACAAAAACTAGAATATCAGCATTTAAAACGGTTTTTGATTTACATTTTTGACGGGAACTCGTTATGCTTGTTGTTGTTGTTGTTCTTGGGCTTGTTCGAGATCCTGGGTATTACGATCTGATCTTCTATCCTTCGTTCTTGATTAAAACGATCCTAAATTTGCATTTTTTTTTTTTTGTCCTGGTCTTATGGTGGGGTTCTGGACTTATAATTACAATTCACGATATATATATATTTTTTTTTTGTTCTGAACTTTTTATTTACCTATATTTTTTTTTGTTCTAGTCTAATGGTGGTTTTTCTGGACTTTTTATTACAATTTTTGTAATTCAAGATTTATTAACGATTCACGGTCATTCACAATTCTATTCTGGACGTATCGTTTAAGGATCCGGATTTTAACTCGGGAAATTTATTATTTTTAATTCGGGGATTTATTATTCTAATTCTGGACGTATTTTTTTACGAGTCTGGATTTATTGCTTCAATTCAATTCGGGAATTTATTATTTACGGTAATTACTTTGGGTGGATTTTATTAATCATGGAACAATGAACAATCAAACTTTTTTTTTTTTTATAAAAAAAATCATCATAAAGTTTTTTAAAAGTATTATTATTATTATTATTCTAATATATAATTTCAGGAGTATTATATCAATACTCTAATATATATATACATATAAATATATATATGTATATACACACTTATACACAATTTTCTGGGGGTATTCTTTAATGAGGATTTTCGAGGATGTATTCTTAAAATGGAGGATACATTTATTATAAATATTAATTTAGTCGTCGAATTTTTCAATTTTATATCTCTCTATATATTTTTTTTAATGATATTTACGAATAAAAAGTAAAAAGTTATAATAATAATGTTGTATATGTAATTTTTAAACCAAAAAAATATATATTTATATATATAGTTTAATATTAGTTAATTAATTAATAAATAAAGTATTCTCGTATTATTGATCGAGAATAATATGTATAATATGTAATAATGTAATATAACAATATAATAATATAGTAATATAGGAATATAGGAATAGGAAAATAGCATATATAGAAAAAAAACTTAGGCAATGGCATTTTATATATTTGACATTTATTTTGCATTAAATACTGTATATATTTGTGTATACACAACACATATCATATATCACATCATATATCATATCATATTATAGATTCAATCAATTGGAAAATATTGGTACATTTTTTTTTTTTACACGCGAGACAAAAGAGAGGAAGGAATTATTTTTTTTTCTTATTGGGGTTCTCTCTCGATAATCACATCGACTCATGTAATATTAATATAAGATATCAGATATTAGGTATAAATAATTAATATTATTAATAAAATTCAAAAACATAAGAATTTATTTTTAATTATAATTATATTATAATATTATTGTTATCATCGCTTCTACTATGTTTTCGTTGTAATCAAAATAAAGAATGTAAAAATTAAATAAAACTAAATAAAAAATTAAACCTGTAAAATTAAATTATTCGTCATATGAAAAATGTCTAAATAAAATAATAAATAATAAAAAAAATAAAATATTATTCACAAATACTTTTTTATATATATATATAAAATAAAAAAACAATTATAATAATAAAAAACTTTACAACTTTATATCTTAATTTATATCAACTTTACCAAATCCAACATATCTTATTATAATAATAATAATAATCATAATAATCATATAATAATAATAATAATAAATAATAATAATAAATAATAATAATAATAATAATAATAATAATAATAATAATAATAATAAATTATTTCTACAAAATTATTTCACCAGAAATGTCTGTATCATCTGAACATATATCTTCAATACCTGGTAAATCATTTCTCTTTGCCAATCGAATAGCCAGAGATCGATCATTTAAATTATCAAGGATATATGTAATTATATTTGTTTCATCGATATCAATAGATAATATCTATAAAAAAAATAGAATAATTTAATATAGAATATGATATATTATAGTAATGATACATAACATAAAATAGAAAAAATATCGTATATACCTGCCCCGATCGATTTACTCCAACAATTCCACCATCAATTTCTTCCGGTACCGAAGTAAAAATGGTGGTCGGACTAACTCTTGATACATAAATACACATTCCAGTTTCTAAATCAAATAATTGAATATATCCATTTTTTGTTAACAAGAAAATGATATAATATTTCTTGCTAACTTGTATTGATATAGGAAAATCATTAACATTTTCTGATGAATAGAAAACATCTACGGCTTTTTCTGCTATCACGGGATTTTCTTCCTTATGATCGATTTCTATTATGTGGAGCTATTTGAAATAATAATAATAATTAAATATAATTGATAATATAATTTTTAATAATAATAATAATAATAATAATAATAATAATAATAATAATAATAATATTTGAATATAATTGAATATGATTGAATATCACATCACATCACATTATTACCTTTGATGAATCTTGATTTCGTACACTATAAATAAAAAATTTAGTAGGATATATTCCGTGTTCCATTTTTAATGATGTAAATGTTGCTGCATGACCTTTTATTATATTATCTTTGTTAGTCTCTTTCTTATGAAGTTGAATAGTTCCTAATATATTCCCATTCTAAATAATATAAATAAAATATAGAGAATAATATAAATGAAGTATAGAAAATAATATAATAAATAAATATATAAATAAATATAAATAAATATAGTTATATTAATTATATTTACCAAAATTTTTACACCAACAATAAACATCCACCTCTCTTCAGCATCCACATGATAATTTATAATTTCATCACAATTCTTCATTTCCAAATTTCTATCAAATATTTTTTTGGGTGATGAAATTCCATCCAATAACCAATGATAAACCGAATTCTCGGTTATCACACATAATTTCTTTACGTTCACCCATTTCCAGAATACTATATCTTCATGCATGGTATATGTTTTAACTTTGTAATTTAAATATAAATTATATATTTGTAATTCTCTACGATCTATAAATACGAGTGAGAGTTATATATAATGAATATATATATAATGAATATACATATATAATGAGTATATATAAGTATATATATAATGAAAATATATAATATGATTTACCTCTCAACGCAACAATTTTACTTCTAGGATGCATAATAGCAGCGTCCACTTTAAATGGTCTTTGAATAAGATTATTTGATTCTGATCGATCTATTATTAATAATCGATTTTTTTCACAAATGCATATAAACTTTTCGGATTCCATCGTTACCCATTTAAATCCAATTCTTGATGGATTTACATCATAATCTTGAAGCTAAATTTTATTATTATTATCGATTTATTGATTATTAATTATTATCGATTATTATTGATTATTATAATCATACAAGTAATAATAATATGAAATTATAACGATTACAACTCACCCTTCCGTATTCTAAAACTTTGATGGGCGTGTTATCGTTCATTTTTTTTTTAAGAGAAAAAAAAAAAAAAAAGACCAAAATGAAGGAGGAGATACGTTATTGTTATTATCGGGGAAACGTTATTCTTACGCTTGAAGTTCTTGATATTCTTGATATTTTCGTTCTCACTGCTTGCTTTCTTTCTTTCTTATCTTCCTTTTGACGCTTTTTTGTGCACGTGTATATATATTGTAATATTGTGATATATTCGTGATACGTTCCTCTCCTTCAAGAGAGTGAGGAAGTTGGACTCGAATATATATATTTACCAGAGTTGTTAGAAAAGAAAAAGAACTTACCAAATATTATATTTTATATATATATATATTATTGCTTATAAATATTAATGATGATGATTATTTTTCATGATTATATATATATAAAATAATTACTACAAACTATTATTATTATTATTATTATATATATATATTTGATTTGATTTGATTTAAAGATTATGATTATTATTATTATTATCGATATACTATTATATAAATATGTTATATCTGATATACGTAATTATTAATACGTAACCATTATCGTTATCATTACCAATATTATTATCATTATTATTATTTATTATTATTATTATTATTATTATTATTATTTTTATTTTTATTTCCAGTTTTTTTTTTTAAAAAAAAAATTTCCAGTAGTTGAACGAAAGTAGTAATTTAATATCACGTGTTGAAGCTCCAAATGATCATCATCATCAATTCAAAACAGAAAAAGAGAAAAGAGAAAGAGAGAGAGAGATGATATTTTTTAATTACCTGATAAGTTGATGATAAATAATAATAGTAATAATTTTAGGATTCTTTATTTAATTATTATTATTATTATACTGTTATTTTTATTATATCTGGAAATTTGAATTTTTTTAAATAATTTATAATGAATATAAATTATAATAAAATGTAAAATATAACACAGAAATATAAATTCTAAACTCTAAATTCGTAAAACTTTGAAATTCAACACTTTTTTTTTTGAGTAAATAATCTAATTTTTATAACTTACGAATTTTTGTTTCTCCTCTTTTTTATATTATTATTATTGGTTTCGATTACAAAATCAAAGCATTTCTTGGTATCTTTTTTTATTATTTTATATATACAGCAAATAATCGATAGTATTATTATTTATTTTATTATCCTCTTCTTTTCTTCTTTTCTTCTTGGTATCTTTTTGGTTTTTCTTCTTAAAGAGAGAAAATATATTAGAAAGATATTGATATGTTTGGAAATAATGGAAATAATGGTATATAGGTAAGGAAGAAGAAAAAGAAAAAGAAATATCAAAGAATTCGTTTTCGATGATGATGGAAAAACTTCTTATTTATCTGATATAATTATAGATATTACGGTATTCTATTGTTTATTATATGCAACTTTCCATATTACCAATGCTGAACAGGTTGTGTTGGCTGTTTGCTTTTAGTTTGTTAGTTGTTTGGGTGCTAAAATGTGTGTAACGACAATTATCAGTTATTAGAAATTACTAGAATGTAAAATGACACCAGAAATGGAAATTTTATATTTATTTTCATATGAATAATAAAATATTAAATTTTTTAAATAATTACCAATTTAAAGTTTTTTTTTTAAAAAAAAATAATAAATAATAATAATGAAAAATTTAAAGCATAAGAAACGAAAAAAATCAAAACGTCAACAAAAACAACCAATATCATCAGATAAAATTGCTTTGATAACAGGGGCAAATAGGTAGGAATTTTAATAATTGAATTCATTGAAATTGAAATTGAAATTGAAATAATTAATTTATATATATATATATATATATATATATTTAAGTGGAGTAGGTTTTGCCATTGCTCAAAGACTTTTATATCATTCATCTCAGAATCCTTTAGATAAATATCGAATTATATTGGGATGTCGTAATGAAGTTAAAGCAACCAAAGCTCGAAAAGAATTATTAAAAGAATATCCGAATGGTTTGATTGATATTGTTATGGTAGATGTTAGTTCGGTGAATTCGATATTTAAGTTTTGTAAAAAATTAAAGAAAAAGTATTTTTATCACACTTTCTTCATTACATAATACATATTATATATTATATATTATATATTATATTATATATTATATATTATATTATATATTTATATATTATATATTATATATTATTATTATATATTATATATTATATATTATATATATTATATATTATTATCATTTACACATTATATTTTATCAATATTTATAATTCACACACACACACACTATATTTAGATATGACCATTTAGATTTATTATTCTGTAATGCGGGAATATTATCATGTGTATATGTGGATTGGTGGGTTATCCCTTATCAATTGATAAGTAATCCAAAAGAATTATTTACAGATACTAAATTAATAGTTCAACCAGTGGGAAATTTAACAGAAGAAGGTTTAGGAGAAACATTTGCTTGTAATATTTTTGGTCATTATGTCATGGTTAGTTTATTCTATTTTAATTGGTTAATAGATAATTCTAGTGATTATTCCAGATTATCTCAGATTATTCAAGATTATTAATTATTATTTTTATTGATAGATACACCAATTGGAAGATATGTTAGCAGCAGCAGCAGGACATGCTCGTATCGTATGGACCAGTTCTTGTACAGCTAAAAGAGATGATTATAATCCTATTGATTATCAATGTATTAAAGGGTTTGTATTTTGGTATTTTAGTTATAGATGTATTTAATTAGTTTGTTAGTTGTATTAATCAGAATATTCTAAATAAATAAATAATTGATTAATTAATTATTATAATAATAATAATAATATTATTATTATTATTATAATTATAGATCAAGTCCATATGAATCATCAAAATATATTTCAGATATAATTTCCATTGCTCTCAATTCACGTTTAAATCAACGTGGCATATTTAGTTTTACTACTCATCCCGGAGTTGTTGCTAGTAATATTGTACGTGATCACCTTGGAATTGTGATGGGAAAAGCAATGGAAATTGGACTTCATTTGGTAAAATTATTAAATTATTGTTAATAATAATAATAATAATAATAATATTATTATTATTATTATGGTGGTAATGAAGATTAATAATTACTTTTTTTTATGCTTGAATAGGCAAGAATTTTAGGATTAAAAGAAGAAACAATTACTGCTTGGAATGGATCATATTCAAATTATATTGTAGCAACCCAACCAATTGAAAATCTTAATAAATATCATAAATATGGTAGTTATGTTAAACCTTGGGGTTCTGTTTATTACCTTGATGAATTAATTGATCGTTATAATGAAAATGAAGCTTTGAGTTTATTAAAAAAATTAGATGATTTGATTTTGGAATTTAAAGATAAAAAGAAACACTAATAATAATTAATAATATTAATAATAATCTATTTTTAATAACAAGACTATCTCAATATTTTTTAATTTTTTTTTTTAATTTAATTTTTATTTAAGTTTTTATTTAATTATTTTTTATTGTTTTTCTTCAAGTTTTTTTTTTTTTTAATATTTTCGCAGAACGTGTTCTGTACCGACAATAAATATCTAACTATATCCTTTTTATTTTCTTGAACTTCCCTGTAAATTTTCTTTAACTCTTGTTTCCCTGCATTCTATTTCTACTATTCCAAAAAGTATTTTTCCGAAATTCTTTTGATGTTTATAATAAATGATACCCGTCCCGCAAGGTCGGATCGGATCAGATTTTATATATATATATATTCGGATCCGATCCGATATTTTAATTCTTAATCCTGATTCGGATGTCATATTTTTAAAATCCGAATCCATAAAAAATATCAAATATTTTGTTTTTTTAAATTTTTTTTTTTTTTTATAGATTTAAAAATTTATATCTCCCTTCCTTTCGGATCAAACGATCAATCCGAATCCCTTTCGGATTTCTTTTTTTTTTTGAATTCAATCCGATCCGGGACGAATTTTTAGTATTTATTTTTATTATCAAATAGTTTAAATATTATACTAATTATTATTTAATTGTTTAAGATAAGATTCTTATAAAATCTTTACATTAAATGATAATATCATGTTGTTAACGGAAAAATAAATAATTTTATCTTTGCTTTTTTTTTTATTTGGTTTAAATTTACTTTTGAATATCATTTCGTGCGTAAGTATGTATGTATTTACGAAGCACAATACATGTAATATATGTAAATTAATGTCTTTAATAATGTGTATCACGCACGTTTTTTAGGGATCTCTTTCGAGCCAAGTAACTTACATAACAAGAAAAACGAACTGAACGAACGTATGTTGATTTTAAAATTTATTCTTAGTCATAATAATATAATTTATTAGAACAAATACAGTATTCCTTATTCTCTGTTCTAATTTTAACATTATTATTATTATTATTACATACATGTGTGGTGAGGAAATAATATATTCAAACTTTTTTTTTTTTTTGGATTGTGAATTATGAATTATGATTATGCATTACGAATTATGATGCATTACGAATTAGGTGAATAAATTTAAAAATAATTGAAATAATGCATAAGATAAATATTTACTGTAACTTGTACTGTACATTTTTCTGCCAAATATACTATTTATATACATATATGAATATATAGGAATTATTATACATATATTATAGGAATGAATTATATTGAATTATATTGAATTTATTTGTACATTAATAAAGTTAATTAACAAGTGTGTACCTACCTTTATTTTCTGAATTTAGTAAAGACCATCATAAAGTTAAAGAGAAAATCAACGATTATCAAATTTTTTTGTACGAATTTATACTAACTATTTATATACTTTAATAATGCTTTAATGATTTTAATAGTAATCATTATAATAACAATAATAAATAACAATGAGGATTTTTTAATTTAATTTCGTTTTTCTTCCATTGTATCATTATTGTTACATATTTATTTATTATATTTTATTATTTATTATATATTTTATTATTTATTATATTTATACTTTCTTTAATTTTAAATTTATAAAACAAGAGAAGACAGATAAAATGATAAAAAATAAAAATGTAAAAAAATCCTTTGTTTCGTTTTGCTTATTTTACTGGCTAACTGGCTTTATTTGCTTAAATGTTTTACTTACGGAAATTAAATCAATTAAAATTTAAATTAGAATTTTAATAATTTAAATTAGAATTTAAATAATTGAAATAATAGATTCAATCAAAATAAATAAATAAATAAATATTATTATGCTGTATACTCTGTATATGTATATATAGTGCGTATGTGTGGGGAATGAGTGAAAGGAAGAAAAATAAATACCGTATTTATATTTTCCTGATTTGTCCTTTTTTTTTTTTTTTTTTATCATTTTCTCATTCTTCTCGCGGTCTCCTTCCATTCCATTCTTTTTTTTCTTTTTTCTCGGTATTTCTTCTTTTCTCTCCTTTTTTTTTTCTTTTTCTTCGCTAAATCTATTTAATATATTTTAAGTATATACCTATCATATACATCATATATATATCCCATATGGAATAACTCATAGATAAACAACTAGATAAAAAAAGGTTATTATTAATTATTATTATTCAATATCTAACGTGTTGATTGATTTTTGCAGTTTGGTTTTGAATCGGGTGTATAATTTTCTTACTTTCGTATTTTTTTATAATAATAACACTGCATATATTATTTACATGTTAAACATAAATTTATGCATTCGTTCTTTTTTTTTAAAAAATACTGATTGATTAATTGAGAACAAAGTCTTTTATACTGTGAGACTGTGAGATCAAATTGAATAAATTAAAAATTTGAAAATTCATGTATTCAATGACATTCATGATGTCATAGCAAATTGAAACAATACAATTTACTTTTTATTAAATATCATATTATCATTAATTTAAATTAGTCAATTATTAATTAATTATCTTATATTTTAATATACACCTTGAATCTTAATTTAGTATTCTTCGAATCGAGAGAGAGAGAGAATAAATTCTATATTCATTTGTCGCTTAAGGAATTTTACAATATAATTATATTAGAAATATATTAGAATATATTAGATATATGTTAGACATAACTATTATTATTATTATCATTCTTACTATCCTTTCTACTACAAATAAATTGGTAACGACGAACGAACGACAACGTCAAGATTACCAAGACTACTCATAGTTGTAAATATTTCTTAATAGATATAAACTTTACACAACGATTTATTCTTATTCTTATTCTTTATCGTCAATAATCGCTATTATATGACATCTCTTTATTTACCATTTTTTTCTACTTGAACATATCATTTTTACATCCCTATACACATTTTTCCTTACTTTTTTATTTTATTTTATTTTATTTTTTTTTAGTTATACATATATATATATATATCCTTTTTATATATTTATATATTATATATATTTTTATATATTACATATTTTTACATATTTTTATATATTTTTATATATTTTTATATATTTTTATATTTGTATATATTTATACACTTTTTTTTTATACACCATATATGAGATATGACTCACGCGAGTGATTATACTTATCTAAGTAAGTATTTAATGTTTTATTCAATACTTTTTTTTTTACTTTATTAAAAAATAACACAAACGTAATATAATTAATATTATAAGCACGTGCGACTTTTACAATTTGGACATTTATTTGGTTGATTCAACGTATGTGGAGTACTGATAAATTCCAAGCGTTAAGATGGCAACGCATAAAGAGATTTGAATTGGTAAGTGAGAAACCAATCAAATAATTTTCCGAATTTGACAACGATTTGTATACATATATATATATATTATGTAATAGATACATATTTAATATTATATATTATATATTATATATTATAGAAATCAGCAATTTCAATATTATTAAGTATTATGGGTCCATGTTTGGCGACATACGATGTAGCAGGTACTTATATAAAATATAAAGAAGGTTATATTAGAATACCACATAACGGAGGAATTATTACCAAACCGCAGGAATATTGGAGTGAAGAAAATAAGAAATTAGTAATTTATTTTAATTATGTACTTTGTGTTAATTTCAGTATTCAAACGTGAGTATTTTTTTTACACTTTTTACGTTTTTACGAATTATTTATTTCTATCTATCTAATATATTTATTTATTAAATATTTATTTATTTATTTAGATGTTTATTATTTTTACTTCAATCATTTTGGAATTATCTTGCCAATAATATTGCCAAAACTACATTTATGGGTAGTTTAGAATTTAAATCATACATAATATATTCAATATTTAGTGTAATATTATTTCCAATATTACAATGGGCATTTCGAAATGATGCTTTTTATACAGAACTTGTACCTCAATTAGCTTACGGTTCAATTATGTTAATAATTGGAATCTTGGGAATTAGATCTCATTGGAGATTTCAAAAATTATTAATAAAAACTAGAAAAACTAATTCTAATATTGTGACTAAATTAGAATATTTTAAGGTAGATAATTAAATTAATTAATTATTATTATTATTATTATTATTATTATTAATATATTTTATTTATTATTTATAGGAAATGAATCAATATTTAACCTGTGGTCTATTCGTTGGATCCATTTCTTTAATAGTACTATGTATCGATGGATTTACCAAAAAAAAATACTTAAATTCACATAAATTCGCTACAGATATTTTAATATGTCATTTAAATTTCACCATTTGGATAGTATTTGTTACTTTAATATTGATATTTTATCCATCTTCATTCAATTCGGCTGCAATTTATGGAACTACAATTTCTAAAGATATTTTTAAAAATGGTTTCAAAGATAATAGTGAGGGTGGTAGTGGAGGGAGTAGTGGGGGTAGTGGTGGTAATGTTGGTGTTGGTGTTGGTGGTAGTGGTAGTGATAGAGAAGGAAGAGAGAAAGAAAGGAATGAAGGAAAAGAAAGAAATGTTGAAGAATGGTCAAAATATATTCCTATTAGTAGTGAAAATAGTGCTTGGTCATCTCAAACTTCATCTAAAAATGATTATTCAAGTATACACTTTTATAATAATAATTTTGAAACAATTCAATTAGAAGTTTTTGAATCATCACCACCACTTACTCCTCCATCACCATATAGACCTTATGCAACATCATATGTTAATATTAATGATAATTTAAATAATATTAATAATAATTTAAGCAATAATAATAATAATTTAAATTATTATAATAATAATAATAATAATAATAGTAATAATAATAATAATAATAATAATTTAAATAATAATAATTTTAATAATAATTTTAAAAATTATAACTTAGAAGAACAATCAACATCAACATCATCATTTTATTTATTACCACCAAGTCCAAGCTTTCCCCAATCACTATATTCACAAAATTTATCTTCCAATTTATCTTCACATAGTGTTTCTTCTGTTAATACCACTGAGCTATTAAAATATCCTTCTTCTCCATTGTCAAAAAAGAATTTTCATCAACATTAATCAAAAATATTAATAGTCTTAGTTATATATTAATAATTATTAATTATATGTAGATATGATATACTGTAATAATTTAGTTTCAAATATTTTTATTTCTTAAATATATAAATATACAAAATAAATATAAACATGATAAAATAAATATAAACGTGATATATATATTGATACAGAGAGACAGGGGGGGGGGAGAGGGAGCAAGAAAGAGATATATAAATATATTATATAAATGCTAATGAAACTTTATTACAATAATACTACTATTGCGGTTGTTACTGTTGCTATTTTATTGACCTATACTGGGTAAACCTAATCTAGTAGTTAAGAAAGCAAGTGTGAGTGAAAGAATTGTTACCACTGCAACTTTCCAATGATTGGTATCAGGTAAATGGATAACTTTTCGTGGAAGAACTGTAATTGCTTGAGTATCCAAATATACAAAATATGCGTAGACAGGAAATGAAATTGCGTAGGTAAAACTGAAGAATATGTATCTATTTAATTAATAATTTAGATTAATAATTTATATTAACTTATATTAATTTATAATAATTAATATTTGACCGATATATTGTATACTTACGAACTTGCATCGTAAATCCATATAGTACTCACGATATTACCAAATATATGAAATACTGACGCTAAAATTAATAATAATATTTGATGTGGATGATGAACGATTACATCATTATCTAAGTCATGAACGACATCACTTCTTTCTCCTCTTTCATCATCATCATCATCTCTAATTAATGGATTAATACCAGCATCATTCTTGATATGTTTTTTCGTGTTTAAATATGTTCGTGTGAATTGAATTACAAGTGACCAATCCAAACAAAGACCTGAATATATATGCGTATATAAATAAGTATGTGTGTGTGCTAAGTATTAATATGCAAATTTTATATATTAAATAAATAATAATAATAATAATAATAATTACCTTGCGTTTTAAACCATAATGCATCATAAGGCCAAGTTAAGAAAATACTTAATCCAGTATTAAGCATAATATAAAGTGATAAAATTCCCAAAAATGTATTTGAAATAATTCTTCCTCCATAATGCATGTTAACTAATATAACAAGTTCTACTGCGTTATGCAATGCTCCAAATGGTGCCCATATTTTTCCTACATCTACCCAAAGAAACATTATACCCGTTAATGCTGTAACTAAACTATAAACACCTAAAAGTGCATCAAATCCAAAAGTAGGAACTGTTTTATCGTCATTTAATATAAAAAATGTCATTTTTCTTTTATTATAATTATTCTGACTACGGGAAGTCCATTTCATAATTAAATATCCAGATATAATCATCATAACAGCTGAGAAAAGAATTGTTGTAGCGGATTGTTCATCATTGCCTTTACCTAAATAATTTTTAATAAAAAAATATTAATAATAATGTTCATCATTATGAGTTTTTTATCCGTGAATTTTAGAAGAAAAAAAATCTCCGTGAAGAATTTTGCTACCATTCATTCCATCAATTGGAGGATGCCATGTTGGATATCCAGTAAATTTCGAAAAATCATGTTCAGGAATTTCTTGATTATCAACAGTAACATAACTACCCAACACAATTAAAAGAAATAATAAAGCGAATGTTATAGCTACACAATGACCCATTTTTCAAAAGTCACTTCGTAAATAAAATAATTAATTTATTTCAACTTTTTTTTTTTTTTTGAAAATTAAAAAAAAAAACAAAACAAATACAGTATATTCTCGCTACTTTTTATAATTCTTTTTTAATAAAATTTATTGTAATTACTCTTTTTCGTTGGATGGGCGTAAAAACAATAATCTTATATAAGATTTATCTATTTAATCTAATCTCCCTTTTAAACCGGTACTATACTTGTGTATACTGCAATATATATCAAATCTCTCGTTATTAATTATTTCCCACTTGAGAAATACTTCCCTTTTTTACATTATTGATTTTACACTCTATTTTTGCTAAAATCAATAAAAAAAAAATTTCTAATCCTTAATTATTACTATAATTAAAAAATGATACTAATATTAATAGTAATTAAAGTTCAGTGGTGTCACCTTAGAGGATTATTTTTACTTTTGTACCATACCCAAAAAAAATATTATATAAAAATTAATTATTATATCTTGTTAATCTATGTGCTAACATATAAAGTTAAAGCTTATTAAATAATATTCAAGATTATATTATAAATGATAAGTTTTCAAGAATATTAAAATCCAAAAAAAAGTATGTTGAAAAAAATAATATTAAAAGTATTGAAAAATTAATATAAATAAAGAAACTATATTCATTGATTATTTCTTATTTTAAAGATTATGTCATTTATAATGAACTTAAAGTATTTAAAGATTATGCCATTTATAATGAACTTAAAGTATTTAAAGATATTATACCTAAGAGAAAATTGTTTTACGTTTTCAAAATTAAACTAAAGATGATATCTTTAATTAGTTTTTATTTTTTAGATGGAATTGTGATATAAATTCACAATTCTGCAATTAATTGTAAACCTTTTGTAATAATAAGGTAAATATTCAGAATTTCCATATTTTATCTTCAAAGTAATATTTTTTTTTTCATTTCAATTGAATAATTTTTGATCAAAATATCTTAAAATAAAATTTATCAATTGAAAATTAATTTACCAATTGTTATGTATAAAACTTTTAATTTTAATAAACAATATCAAAATTATTAATAATTAAACTTAAAGTTAAGAATAATGTAAAAGTTTCAAACTTTATACTTTAAAATTAAAGTAATTATAAATATTTAAACTTAAATATTTAAAAATTCAATAATGAAGTTTTAAATAATTATTATTTCATTAATGATAATATGATAATATATATGTTATCCAATTACTCAGAATTTGGGATTCGAATTTTTGAAAATTAATTTGAATAACAATATATATGATTACATAATTACAAATAATTGCAGACTTGCAAAAATATTATTGTATATTTTTTTCATTAAAATTTGCAATAAATGTGATATAGGTATAATATTATAATCTGCAATTTATAATTGCAAGTATTATCTTTAATTATTGAATATTATAAGCATTGGCAAGAAGAATAAACCATTAGTTTTAAAGAAAGAAAGAGAAAGAACTTTTAACAACTGATAAACAATTTAATAAATAAATAAAAGATTTTATATTACATGAAACCTCCATGATTCATATTAGATTTTAAAATAAATAAGAGATTTAGATTAAATATCTTGAATCCTCCTGGTCTAGAATAAATTATTGAAACCCTCTAGTTCAAGTTAAGTTTTCTCTTTTATAAATTCAATTCTCTATTACATAATATATATTATAGAAGAAATTCAAATATAATAGAAATTTGCATATATTATATGTGATCTGATTGCTAAATAACCCCCTTTACACCTATATATTTGAAAAAATCTCACCAATAATTACTGAAATATAATATTGCTTTTACTCTTATTGACTTTTACTAATTAAATTATCATAAAATTTATATTACATTATTTTATATATAAGGATATCAATATCCAAATCCAAATAACTGGCTTGAGATAATGATTTGGATTAAATCCAAAATTGAAAAATTAAATTCTTAAATTCTTAAACTTTATCTAAATCTCTAAAATTCCTAAATTTTTTTAAATTTCAAAACTTTTTCTAATAGTTATGTAATTAGCCTTAGAGGATACCTTTAATATTTTTAAAGTGATAACCTTGGCCTTAAAGTAATAGCATCCCAATTTATTATAAATATGACTGAGAATTCTTTAATAAAGTTTTAACAATTAACTTAAAATACAATGTCTAACATTTAATAAATAACACCTATTTGTTTTTGAATAAACTGTTATTTGTTACAAAGTTCCGCATACAATACCCGGGGTACGTTATATTCCACTACTTGAAAACATGAATGGCTTCCCCAGTATCCAGAACCATTTCACCTCCCCCCCACGTGTATAAATTTATCACCGCGTGTCACACCATTTGATTATGGTGACTTGGAATTTTTCGCATGTGGAAATCGCTAAAGTATCGTTTTTGAGACACCTATAGTTATTTTTTTGATACATCAAATACGTGTGACAAAAATGGTCAATATGTTTATATTGTTTTATTTATAAAAAATAACTGTTTTGTCACATGAAATTTGATACATCAAAAAAAATAACCATAAATACAATATCTTTTGCGTGGAAATCATATTTGTCACCCGATATTGTCACGCAAATTTGTCACATGAACATAACATATGATATATTTCTGATCACTTGTTAAATTATGGACCAATAAATTTTAGAATTGACGTCTAAACATGGGTATGATACATGTTTTTAGAGTAGAATCCATATAATGCCGATATCCCAGTATTAGTTTATTATTTAGTTTTCCATCCTTGTTTTTTAGTTGGTCAATCTTTTGATTATCTGAAGATAGTGCTCCTACCCCAAATCAAACGAATCGAAATTTCATATGAAATTTAATAGATTCCAACCTATTTTGTTTTTATAATAGTATTTTATATTATGCGAGTTAACGAATCAACCCTATCTGGAGCTAAACTATTATTGTTTTTAGTAAAGCTTTTTCAACCAGGTGACAACAATATAGTGAATAGGAACTTTCATTGGATCAGTGATTAGAGATTTATGATTTTCACATTAATCATCTCTTCAATTTTTATAAAATTCTGATTACTAGATCAAAAGATTTATGAGGTACCTATTATAGAAGTATCGCACCATAGCATATAAATATATATTGAAACTTTACAAATATATACTAATAGGTGTAAAAAATATTTTTACATCATATCAGATACTAACAAGGCTTGGAACAAAATTCCATTTGTTATAGAAAAAAAAAATTAAAGTAATAATAAAAATAAAGAAAAGATATCCAATGTTGTCAAAACGAGACTCAATTAATTGCATTCTGACCAAAGTAACTATAATATTTAAATTTTTATTTTGTATATATTTTTACATTATTTATTATTAATAAAATTATTAATTATTATTATTATTATTTGTTTAGTTTTAAGGGTAATGTTATTCCTCACTCTAAATGAGATAAAATGTTGTAACTTCTCGAGTAATATTATTTTCATGTTAATACCAAATGTTTACCAGGTGAAAAATTATAAGGAATCTTGGGTGACTTTTCTCTAATAATAAATAATAATAAAAGTAATAAAAATTATATAAATGAATGTTTATAATTCATTTCGGAAACAATTTGATCATTAATTTTTGTTTGTGAAGAAGCATTCGACATTGATGAAGTATCACTACCACGTCGTGATTGACTTAAATGAGCCAATTCGGGTACTCTGTTATTATTTATATTATTGTTATTGTTATCGTTATCGTTATCGTTATTGTTATTGTTATTGTTATCTAAAAGTTCCATAATATCTCCTCTTTCTTCTTCTAAAGATGATGTTGATGATTTATCTTCATTGGAATTTTCACTTTCATCAATTATCACACTAAATTTATTATTATTATTATTCTTCTTCTTAATTCTCAAACCAATATTATTATTATTCATAATTGACATCCGACGATTATTATAATTACTATAACTATTATACCTATTATTATAATTATTGTTGTTATAATTATTGTTATAATTATCATTATCATTACAATTATTATTATTATTATTATTATTATTATTATCATTTTCAGAACCAGTCACCATATTAGCCCATTCAAAAAATGTTAATCTTTGCATTGAAACAACTACAAATTTTCCTTTATCAAGTTGAAATGAAGCAGTTTGTTGTTGCCTATATGAAGGTTCTTTTATCCAAGTTGAAGGAGGTGAATATATTGATCGATGTCGAAATGAATATCTTGAAGAAGTAGAAACAGCCCGCGTTTCTTGTCGAGGAGAAATCGGGAAATTTAATGATGGAAGATTATTACGATTTCTGTTATTATTATAATTATTATAATTGTTATAATTGTTGTAATTGTTATTACCACCATTATTATCATTATTATTGTTATTATTATTATCATTATTATAATTATTATTTGTATTATTATTATTATAATTATTATTATTATATAACCATTGGTCAGTTGGATCTCTTCCTTCAATAACTTTAACAATTTCAGCATCAACAGTAATTAAATAAGATTGAGCAATGGCAGCAAAACATAATAAACCATCAAGTATTGAAACATCAACCTTATTAAATTTTAAAGTGTTCAATACATATATTCCATTATATAAAAAGTCAATAGTTAATCTTAAAAAATTCCAGTACAAAACTGCGGTGAATAAAGTCCTTTTTGGTGTCTTTCGTCCAATTATTGAATTAAGTGTTGCTGCGTTTCGATTCCCATCATTTAAAATTTGAATTAATCTAACGGTAAAGAAACTATCAATAATAAAATCAATTCCAATAAAACCCAATTGTATAATTAAAAATCCGTATTTTCCTCCATTATCACATTTTCTTGGATCTGATAAATTTGGTCTAAGATATCCTAATAAAATAATCTAGAAAAACAATATATTATAAATAAATAAATAAAAAATTAATATAAATATAAAAAAATAATATAAATATAAAAAAAAAAAACAATATAATCAATAATATAATATATAATTAATAAAACAAATAAATAAAAATCATGATAAATACATTTAAAATTGTTCTTGTTGCATATAAAACAAAACTAATTGATCTATCCCAAGTGGAATATTCAATTTGTTTTAATCTCCATAATAAAAATCCTCCCAATGCTTGTCGATAAAAAAAATTGGCTAAAACTGAAAAATAAACCAAAATTGTACATTGAGTTTGAGTGAACTCTATTGTGGATAATATTTCGAAAGTATATAAAATTATTGATCTGGCCACTCCACTAAAATTAAATATTATTTTTAATATATTTGATATATGCGCTTGTCCATCTCGATATAATAATATTGATACGAAGGAATTATGAAAATATGTCTATTAAATAGAAAAAAAAATAAGAATAAAACCGTTAGTATTGAATGATAATGATGAAAATAATAATATTCTAAAATAATAATAATGATAGAAAAATAATAATGATGATGATGAATGATAAAATAGTGATAAAAAAAATATTGATAAAATACCATCGATGAAAGACCCAATAAGAATGTCGAGAACAACTGAGAGAGTCCATCTTTCATTATGAATTTTGAAATATAAAATAAAAATTTACAAATGCTAATGTTTATATATATATATATATAAAATTGGTGTTCAACACAATTTTAAATAAAAAGAAAATTTTTTTTAAAAAAAAAAAATAAATAAATAAATATATATATATATGTATATATATTCGCGAAGGTTAGATAATAAATAAATAAATAAATAAAAAATAAAATAAATATTTTTGAACTGAGAATTTTATTTAATTCATATGACTTTTTATTTAATAATTTAAAGAAGAAATGAAAAAAAAGAAGGCAATAATGTTAATTAAAAGGGAAAATGAATCAAAAAAAAAATTCGAGTTTCATTTATATTTTATTTCTCCTTCCCATTCCATTTAGTATTCATTTAATATATAAAAAAAAAAGATTTATTGTTTTTTATCTAACTATATTTAACCTAAATCTATTTACAAAATAATTTTTTAAACAATTCTAAATGGAAATAGATCATCATGGGGATAACCAACTGACATTCCACAAAAAAGTTTACAATTCAATTATTACCAAAATTATTGTCACGATATAACGATATAACACAATGGACAGTATTATTTATATATTTATTAGTGTGATATGTATTTGTATGTGATAAATTTATATTTAATATGTTAAAATTATTATATAAATTAATATGTATCACATATATATATATCTAACACACTTTACTTCTAACACTTATTATTTTCAAACTGTGCAAACCGTGCAAACTATGCGTTCTCCTATAAACAAAAATAATATTTCAAACAATAGATTATTATTATCTCCCATATTATTATTATTATTATTATTATTATAATTATTATTATAATTAATTATTACTATTATTGTTTTGGCGTATTTTTTTTTTTTTATTATAAAAAAATCTCTTTCTAGATTTTTTTTTTTTTATACCATAAAGAGAAATAGAAGAATTTAGTGAGACATTCACACAGTTAAATATATCCAAAATTTTCACTAATTCTAATTCTTACCTACAATTGTACAACGTATACAAGACAAGAACAAAACATTTCAACAACAACAAATCAACATAAAAATATCGTTCATTGTATTTGAAGTAAATAATAGTAACATTTACTAAAGATAATTTATATTATAGAAGAGAAGAAAATTTATATTTATAATTATTTTATTACTATTGGTTATTGATTTTATTGATTAATATTGATCATTATTAATTATTATTGATTATTATAATTATTATCAGTTATTATTGGTTAAAGCTGCACTAAACAAATTAACATTTCAAATTAAATCTAATATTCTGCAAGATTCTGCAAGGATAAAAATAATTCAAGCTGGGTCAAATAAACTCACATAACTGATAAGCTGCATATTATATTATAATTACAATAAAATAGTTTAATGAAAAAGTATAATTAGTATGTAATAACTATTTTAAGAATAAGCATTTATAATTTATTATAATTTCTATACTTTCGTGACTTCTTATAATGACCTCTTATAATGAGCAAGTGAAGATTCATCTTACCTATTATTATTATTGATTTTCTTTCATATATTACCAATTATATCTTTCCATTTGTTTTGTTTATAAAATTTATTGTAAATTCGGAATAATTACAAATAATAATTTCATTTAATTTCTCCTTTTTTTTTTTAAAAAAAAAACAAAAAACGTCATATTGCATTGAGGTATTGAAAAATGGAACTATAGGAAGTGAATATGGAATGAATGGAATCGAATATATTCCAGAACAAATTTGTAGAATTATTATACGTGAAAGATAATATAGAAATAAATAACTCTGACAGTTATAACTTTTTTTTTTTAATATAAGAATAATAGAATAAATAACAATATATGATGTTCATTTAATTAAATTTAAAGTGATTTTTGATAATACGTTTTAATCATCATTTTAATCATTTTAATCATTGTCTTCGGACGGATTGAGAATTAAAATCCTATCATTAAAGACATACATTTGTAAACGAACCTAGTTTGTCATATTTCAATCGGGTATTTATTGGTAAAAAGCTAGAAGTTGGTTACGTTTAATTTACAATAAATAAATCAATAGGTAGTTCTTTTATTGATATTCATTTTATATTACTGCAAATAATCAAAACGGATAATGCACATCACGAAATTAAAGTATTGTCAAAAGCTAGGTGATGCAGATCGTGACAAATTATCATTTTCCTAAAGAAGCTAATCCTAATATACATACACGTGAACTAAACTAGAATTAAAAGGGCTAAATTGTTAGAAATAATAGAAATAAATGATAATCATTCACACCCTTTAATGGTATTTAATGGTTATTATGATATTCCATAAAACACATTTATTTCAAAGAATACTATTAATACCTTTTGTAACTGTTTCCGAAACTTCTTTTTCGAGACTTTTAAATTATAAACTAAAATATGTCAAAAATGTAAGACATTATAAAACAAATAATTCTCAATCACAAGATACAATTTTTGCACTATCTACAGCACAAGGTAAAGCAGGAATCGCTATTATTCGCATTTCTGGGCCTAATGCCTCACAGGTAGTTGTCTCGTAATTTTTATATTTGACTTATTTTAAGGATTCATAATATAATATTTATTATTATTAACATTTCATAGGCGGTGAAGGAAATGGTACTTAAACAATCTTTAAAAAAAAAATTTCCAATCCCACGTAAAGCCACCGGAAGATTTATTGTTCACCCAATTACTGGTGAAATGCTGGATCACGGGCTAGTCTTGTGGTTTCCAGGTAATTTTTAAAAATCATGTGTTTAACATTAAATTTTATCTCGTGATTTACTTATTTTTATTTATTTATTTTTATTTATTCAGGACCAAATAGTTATACTGGTGAAGATATTGCAGAGTTTCATATACATGGTGGTACTTCGGTGGTAAGGGGTGTTTTAGATGCACTTGGTAGTATTGAAGGGTTTAGGCATGCTGAATGTGGTGAATTCACTCATAGGTAATTGATGATCTTTCTAAATCCATCAACAATTGAATTTTTTTTTTTTTTAATAATTTGATTTGCTTATATAGAGCCTTTGATAATGATAAACTTGATCTCACTGAAGTTGAGGGAATTGCTGATTTGTTGAATGCTGAGACTGAAGCACAAAGAAGATTAGCTTTACGACAAGCTCAGGTACAAAAATATCTATCATATTTGTAAATATTATCATTTATTTTAATTAATTTATTTATTTTTTAAAATAAATTATTAAGGGAGGACTAAAACATTTATATGATACTTGGAGACAACAGTTAATTGAAAATATGGCATTAGTTGAAGCAGTAATTGACTTTGGTGAAGATGAAAATATTGAAGATGAAGTGTTAAATCAAGGTAATTGAATTGATTAAATAATAATAATAATAATAATAATAATAATAATAATAATAATAATAATAATAATAATAATAACAATAATAATAATAATAATTCATTATTTCTATTGTCAACTTTAAAGTGAATGAAAGAATAAAACATTTGGTGAGTATAATACAAAATCATATGAATGATAACCGTAGAGGTGAAATTTTACGGGATGGCATACATGTGACTATTATGGGTCCTCCCAATGTTGGAAAGAGTAGTTTTTTAAATTATTTGGGTAAAATATTAAATTATTTAAATTATTGTACACTTTTTCTTTTTTTTCAAAATAATAACTTTTTTTTTAACATAATTTTCTGGTAAATAATATTTAACAGACATTTTCTTTATTATTATATTGAGTTAGCTCAGAGACAAGCTGCAATTGTATCACCTATCCCTGGCACAACAAGAGATGTAATTGAAATTTCCTTAAATATCGGTGGTTATCCAATTATTATTGGTGATACTGCCGGATTGAGAAAATCTGATGATATTATTGAAATGGAGGGAATTATAAGAGCCAAAAATCTGTATGAATTTTATTCATTTACTCCTATCATATAATTTAATAATTAATAATTAATAATAAAACTAAAGAATTCCTAATTCATATTTTTTAATTTCTCGGTGAATAATTTTTTAGCATACTTTCTGCTGAAATAAAAATATGCATTCTCTCAAGTGTTGATATCTTTAATTCAAAGAATAATAGTTTATTTAATTTAGATCCAATGACTTATAATGCTATGGACAAAAATACGATCCTTATTCTAAATAAAACTGATCTATTAAATAAAACTGAACTATCCTATTTAAAAGAAATATTTACAGAAGTAGTTCCTACAAATTATATTTTTTGTTTGTCATGTGTCACTGGGGAAGGTATTAAAGAATTTCTAGAATTTTTTGTAACCTCTTTAAGACACAAGTATGAATTTATTTATTTTCAACTTCTTTTTTTTTTTTCCATAAAATTCCTCCAATATTGAGACACTAATCTACAAATTACAAACTCTATTAAAAAACAGATATGATGATTCCACCTCCCAAGTTGCATTGATCACTCAAGCTCGACACCGTGAACATCTTAATGAATGTTTAAAAGGTCTACGGAATTTTCTTGGTAGGCGTTGTAATTATTATTATTATAATTAATTTTTATTTTATTTTTTTTTATCTATGAACAAGATTTCTCCAAATGGTTAAAATTTTTATGCCATTCTTGAAAATTATATTGTAGTTCAAAATGATTTAGTCCTAGCAGCAGAAGAATTAAGACATGCGACTAACGCATTAGGAAAAATCACTGGTCGAGTCAGCGTTGATGAAATATTGAGTGTTATATTTCAACAATTTTGCATTGGAAAATGAAAAATTGAAAACAAAAACTTTAAAAATAGCAATTAATTTGGATGATTATTATCATAGATAACATTTCGAAAGATTTTACCAATGAATTTCAACAATGATTCTTTAATGCGTCTTTTTCTGCATTTGCTTCGCACGTTTTCCATAATGCTTCGATCTGTTCAGGAGTATGAAGCGTTTCCATTTGTTGTGAAGCTAATGAAGTATTGTGTAATACTTTAGTCCATTCCCAAGTCGACTTATTTAGTTCCCCACGCCTTTTATGAAGATCAACCATCAATTTCCATTCTTCTTCTCTAAGACGTTGATCTTCTTGTTTGCTTTGAGATATCTAATAATAATAATAATAATAATAATAATTGTTTAATAAAAATTCAAAAAATTTAATAAATAAAAAATTTTTTAAATTTAAAAATTGAAAATACCTCTTTTTCATGTAGAGGAGAAAATGATACTACAGTTTGTATTGGTCGTAATGGAACAGGTGGAAACATAGGAGGATGTAAAGGTAAAGGAGGTCTTGGTGCTGTTGGGGGAAATGGTGGTGCATGAAATGGTGGAGGACGTTGATAAGAAGAATGCTGAAGTGGGCTTCCTCTTGAATAAGGTGGGTTATATGGTGGTGCCCCTCCAAAATCTCTGTGATTATGAGATGGGGGACCACCTACTCCAGGACGAGAATATGGGATATGATATGGAGTACCACCACGATATGGTGGTCTACGATCGTAAGGTTGAGGGGTTGACATTGAAGGTCGTCCGTATGGTTTTAAATCTCTATTATTTCCAACAAAAGGAACTTGTCTAAAAGCTATTTGAGATTCTTCTTCTCTCATGTCGTAACGAAGTGGTGCTTGTGAAGATTCTCTCATTGAATAATCAGAGCTCTGCGAATATCGTGAAGATATATAGTGAGAATTTGAATGATTATCTCTTTCAGACGAATAATTAGAATTTGAACGATATGTTGTATCTCGGGGTCGATTGTAATTTGGTGAACTATTGCGTCGCTGGTCGTTTGTTCTATCCATGGCGATTTATTATTTTTTTTTTACAATATTTACAGAATTAAAAATGTGGACAACGATATCACTACATAAAGTTTCTCATCACTTACGACTATTCCTTTTGATCATGTCCTGTGTGTTCAAAACAGTCAATTCAAAAATAAGGTCTGCTTTATAAAAGCACCAATTACCCAATTCTCAGGTCCCACGATTTATCCCAATGTTTTAATGGTTTGTGTATATGATAATAAAACGATCCAGAAATCTTTTGTTTTGTATACATGTACAACCAACGAACGCTAACATGCATCACATGATCAAAACGAATCACAATAAGCCACGTTATTAACTTTTTTTTTACGAGAGAAGAGAATTCTTGAAGACAATTTATTATTTATAAAGAAACTGACTACATCATAATAATTATAGTTTTTTTTTTTTTTTTTTAAAGTCACATTAATAAATATTATTTGTTTGTACCCTTCCTAGAAAGCTATTATTTATAATAAATAAATAATAACCAAACAATTCTAAATGTTGATAATTGTTGAATAAATTCTTAATAATTCAATTTTAAATTCTTATTTTTCAGTTTGATTCTTTTGATTTTTCTTCCAGCATTCTTTAAATTTATCCATCTCTTTTTTACATTGCCTCCAATCTCGTTTATCTGAAAAACATAATTGTAATTCTTGATTTTCCTTATAACATCCAGTTCTAATTATTCTCTCCTCATATTCGTCAGATGGTTCTTGAGAATTATGCGATTGTTTCATGAAAATAATATTTTAATTTGTCAAGTTTAAATTTATTCGCGGAATTAATTTATTCAAGAGAGTACATTTAATAAATAATATTGAATTTATTTCGTAATAATTAATAATAATGATAAATTAACTTTTTTGATTTTTAAACTTGTTAAACTTGTATCACACTATTATCACTTGTCAATAATCAATTGTGATAAATGTGACAAACAAAATTCAATACCTGTAGTCTGCACATTTAATAACGATATTGCAGTTATTTTAGTACACCCTTTTAGACGAGAACGATTACATTCTCTTTTCCGAGACATTACTTTGAAGTTCCTACTCACAAAATGCCGCGAACACGACCACGCAAGAAAAAGTCAAAGCAACAACAAGTTATACGACCAAATCATAAATTACCACCAGAGCTCATCACTGAAATATTTGAATGTCTTTGGGGAGGAACTTTAGACGACCTACCATATGATTCTGAAATACCCAATGCAATCGATGACCATTTCTCTCGAGAAAGGTCTGACCTTCTTAATGTTTCAATGGTTTGCTCTGTATGGCGGCAAATAGCAATACCAAGAATTTGGCAAAAGGTAAAGTTTCAACTTGATGTTGAACGAGATTGGGAGAGTTTATTTCAATGGCTTATTGAAGAGAATTATGGTATATATGTTAGACAAATTCACATTGAGTATGATTATGACCCTAAACAAAATGAAACTGCAATTTCTTTAGCAGAGAAATTGGATGGTATTGTAGCATTTTCTAGAACTGTTTCAAGTATGCACACTATTGCAATAAGGTTCAATTCGGCTACTTCTGATCATATTACCGAAGATCTTCCACCAGTAATGGATAAATTCTTCTTTGAAATATCTGAATATTGTAGATCTGTTCGGCGTGTTAAAATTCATACTTCTAGTTTACGTGGCCCAAATAAAGATGATACACTTTATTTACCTTCAGTTAGTAATATTATGTCTATGGTAACTGACACCGTAAAAGAGGTTGATTTGATGATGCATGTAGCAAATCAAGAAACAATTGGAGCCCTTCGTGATTGCAAAAGGGTGGATCGTGCCTTAGTTCATTGTTGTAGTTGGGGTGAAACTCCTGGAGATTTTTACTCAATATTAAAGTCCTGGAAGCATTTAAAAAATTTACAAATTGAACCTCCTCATAATGTAGATAAAAATTGGGAAAAAACTTATAAAAAATCTCTTCGATATCTTTCAGAAAATTGTGGGGAACAATTAGAAGAGTTATGGATGCCTTTGAGGGAAGAAGATCAAAATTTATTTTGTAATTTAGTCGAACATACTCCTAATCTGAAAGTTTTAGCTTTGGAAGGGAGAGAATTCGTCAACGATGGACAATTCCTAGATGCGATAGCTAGAACTACACCAAATCTAAATTACATGCATTTATCATATTTTCCTGCTGTTACTGGCAAAGATGTTAGAATTGTTAATTGGGGTCAATTGTTGGATGTTAACATAATGGGTTGTGATTCATTAGAAAAGGAGACAAGATTTTTCGATCGTGTGAAAGAAGAATCTTGTCCTCAACTTAATATCCACATATATGATCTCGATGGGAAAGTAATAGAAGATAGGTAGCTAATTAATTAAATCAATAGGACAAAAATTTTCTTTAAACGGGAATTCTCTAGAATCTTTGCTTATTTCTGTTTGTACTGTTTGTACTATTTTCCTTTTTTTATTTTTTATTATTTTTTTTTACAATTTGATTTTATGATAGACTTTTATGAAGCTCGAGCAATACTACTTAGTCGACTTAAACAACATGATCAGGCCTTAAATATTTATGTACACAAATTACAAAATGAGAAGATGGCAGAAGAGTATGCTTTTTAAATTTATGGCAAATTTTAACACTGAATTAATCCCCAAATTAATCATGAATCAAATCACTGATTTTTTAGTTATTGTGTAAAGTATCATAAAGAATCTGAAGATAGTTCAAAGAATGTATTTTTATCATTATTACGGGTGTATTTACGTCCAGCAAACGGTGAGGAAATTATGATCGAACCTGCACTACGACTTTTGTCGCGTCACGGGTCACATGTGAATGCATCCGAGGTAAATTATTTAAATAAAATTTATTGCACCAATTTGATTTTTTTTAATATCTATAATTTACATATTAAATCTTTTATATCTTTTATACAGGTTTTAAATATACTTCCATCTTCAACAAAAGTGACACAATTATATTCATTCTTTGAAAAGTACATCCGAGAAAGTAATAGAAACAGAAATATGAGCATGATTGTAAAAAATTTGCTTAAGGCTAATCAACATCAGGTAAATTTAGGTTTCAATTGGTAGAATTGACTTGTTGTTTTAAATAAATTATTAAATTATTGTATCCATTTTTAGGCCGAAGAACAATTAATGTTATATCGATCACGAAGAGTCAGAATTGATGAGGATCGGATGTGTCCTCAATGTACTCGACGTATAGGCCACAGGTTTGTACATTATATTTTCTATATTTTCTATATTTTATAGTTATTATTATTATTATTATTTTTTTTTTTAAAAAAAAAAAACTTTTAACATTACACATATTAACTTTTTATAGTGGAGTTTTTGCCGTTTTTCCTAATGGAATAGTTGTACATTATCATTGCAAAGAGAAGGTAAAAAATAGACTATAATTTAATATAATTTAATTTAATAAACTAATCTATTATAATTTTAAAATCAATCTAACTTTTAATTTATTCTTATTCTTATTTTCGTTTAGTATTCACAAGCACATGATACGGCAATATGAGAATCATGTAAAGGATTTTAATATTAGGAAACTAATATTTTCAAGAATATTTTCAAGAATATTACTAAGAATATTATTATTTACTATATATATATTTTATTTATTTTTTTTTTTATTTATTTCAACATATTTCAATAGATGATTTTTATTTTTATTTTCAGCATTTATAATTAACTTATGAATTAACTATAGACATCCTTATTTTGTTAGCTGATGTCATCTGTATCTTTTAAACATTTCTATGTAAATATTAGTATTTATATATTTATACAGGAGATTTTCACAATTTTTTTGGGAAATAAATAGATATTGGTAATAATATTGATAACATTATTGATGATATTATTGTTATTAACATTGTTGACATTAGCTTGATGATACATTATTAATCATTATTAATCACATAATGTGATAAGTGGTGACCTTGCGTCATGTCACACCCATCATAAACATAGACGTGATGTGGCGTAATAATAATATTTAGCCTGCGTGTCGAGGAGAACGAGGAATCTTGAACGATTTTCTGCTAAGACATTTCTAATACCATTCATTCAATATACTATTCGAAAGCTCTTATTTCAAGCTTTACAATAGTGGTTAAATTGTCTTTATAACATCGAGTTAATGTCATTTATTTTTATTTGATTACGCCATACTACATATAGTTACAGCATTTACACAGCTACATTCCATGTTTTGATGTGATGACGTAATAAATAATATGATGACGTAATTTAGATGCCATTCTTAATAAGGATTTTGATTTTTTGATATTTGTCAAATAATGTTAACGCTTTAATTTCCTTCTTTAGGTTAATAAAAAAGTACCAATAAGATTTCACTTTTTTTTTGTCGCTATTAAAGGTTTTAAAAGTGATATAGCATAAAATTGTAACTTTCCGCATTTTTCAACGTTAAAAAATTTGTTGTCTTTTCTTTAGATTCTCTCTTCACTTCACTCCCACAAAAAAAAAAAATTTAACAATAGCAAAAAGTTACATAATCTCAAGCTTTTCAGTTCAATAACTTTTTTTTTCGTCAAATTAATTGCCATAACTTTTATGTCCGCGATCCAAAATCTTAACGTTTACGGTATGTTAAAAAAATATATTTTTGATGGGCTAATTCAAACTTTCTGATGGTTATTAAATTTTCTGTTTAATTTATTTTTTTAATAGACCCTTTCGCTGACACCGGTGAAGAAGAGGCAGGACAACCCCAAGGGTATATTCGTATCCTTTATAAATTAATTTTTTTTTTTTTTTTTTTTTTATATCTCATCTCTTTCAGATGAGACAATATTTTTAGAAATTTCATTTTCAGTGTTATCCTTGACCCTATGCTTGTATAACTTTTTTAATGTAGATATTCGTATACAGCAAAGAAACGGTAGAAAAACTTTGACCACTGTTCAAGGTCTTCCAGGAGAATATGATCAAAAGAAATTGTTAAAGGCCTTTAAAAAGGTTTGTTTATTAAATTAATTTATATTAATTTTAATGAACTAGAATAAATTTATTAATTATTAATTAATTTTTTAGGAATTCGCTTGTAATGGTACACTTGTACAAGATGAAGAGTTAGGACAAGTAATTCAACTTCAAGGAGATCAACGTCTCAAAGTTCAAAACTTCCTTTCGGAAGAAGGGATCGATAAAAATATCATAAAGATTCATGGTTTCTAATCCTTTGAATTTTTGGAGCGAGTGTTTTTTGTGGTAGAAGTTGAGAGTTGTTGAAAATTAATGATGTATTTAGTCTTTTGATTAGTAGATTTTAAAAAATAATAAGAGGATAATGAGGAAAATGTGGGTTATATTTATTTTTGTATGTAGCGATAATAATAATTGCAAGTTTTTTTTTTGTATCAACACTGTCGATATAAATATTTTACAAACGAAATTCGATATACGATTGTAAAAACATGTAAAACGTAGGCTAATAAATACATAAAATAATTATTATTTGTTATTTATTAAATGATTCCCTTCCCTAACAATAAATAACATACGTCATAATGGAAATTTTTTGATCCAAATTTCAATATCTTTCTCTTTTAAGATATAGTTTCTTCTAACAAAAGGGTTTGATTATAAGAAATGAAAATGAAATTAGATAACTAAAGTTTTATTGATAATCTTGAATCTAATGATGATGTACACGGGACATTTTTATTGTTTGTGCACGTGATAAAATAAAGTTCGCATTTACATATTAGTATTGAAAAAGTTCGTTTGAATAAAATAAAAGTTCGAAAAATTACATCTTTCCAAATTTAACTAGAAATAAAAAATACAGTAGAAATATAAATATGTTTATAAAAAATTACCACACCACATTAATTTCAACCCGAACCAAGAAAAAAAAAAAGAAAAAAAAAAAAAAAAAAAAAAAAAAAAAAAAAAAAAAAAAAAAAAAAAAAAAAAAAAAAAAAAAAAAAAAAAAAAA